TATTAAAATTTTTAAAAAGCCCAGGTCGTTGTCATTATACTATTGTTTTGTTATCAGTACTTAATATGTGTGAAAAATTCCTATCAGTTTGTGGGTGAGAGAACAATTTAACGTAGATCCTAGTTGAATAAATATGAAGCAAAAATGGCGCGAATTCTGGTTATTATTATCTATTTCGCCAACTTATCTGATACCGTCCCCGTAAATACTTAATACAATTAACAATTTTTTGTTACTTAGCAATTTAAATTTACCTTGAATAGTTAAAAAATGTTCATTGTTATAAAAACGTCAACCGAAGTTAATTTAAGATACGTACTGTGTGGCGTCGACATTTAAAATTAAATCTCGAGATATTTTTTTGATTTCACGACTATTTAATTACAATCATTACAAAGAAAATGCAATGCAGCATCGATGTTTTAATACTCTCAAAGTGTTTGTCACATCTGTCCACGTGACCGTGAAACAAGTATAATAAGAATAAACAATAGAATTTACGATAATAATATTTTAGAAGTTCAGCTAACGACCGCAATTAGCACAGTCGAAGTTATCCGAATCAACAATTTATTCGTCAATCAAATTCCATTTACAATTTGCGAAACCCAAATAGATATGGAAGCCTCACAATGCATCACGCAGTTCTGTACCATACCCTGAGCGTTCACGGCATCAATTACAATGCGCCAGCAACAGGTATCTCGATCCGTGCAAATGGTTAGGCCGTAACAACACCGATTTTTTCCCCCCGTAAAAAGAGCGGTCATTCAGCCATAGTTATGAATGAATGTACTACCTGGCCCTTACGCTCGGGGTGGCGGCGTAAGCCTCGGCGACGTTTTCTTTGTCCTTTTTTATGGCCGGATGTGAGACAAATTGGTGTCCGTTAGGTTGTTACGTCGCTCAATACCAATTGGGGTTCCGTACTCCAGATTTGAAGACATTTTTCTCCGTGCTCACAAATTCGTATCGTTGTTTTCGAATAAACATTTTTATGGCTGATATTCGACGGTTTTAGAGAAACTTGTGAGTGAAAAGTTTATGTAGTGTTAAATTATGATTATATCACCTTTGTCAGAAAAATGCACAATTTATATTAATTTCATTTTAGATAATTAAATATTGAACACTTTTTTTTTAATTTATTTTATTATAAATTTCTTTTGTTTTGATATAATATGTGTGTACATAACGATTTGTTAATGCAAGTTTTAACATGTACTGGACCACGTCATGACAAAGTTTCGATACCTGTCGGACTCATATTAGGGCTGTGGGAAATATTCTCACTTTCTGTTCTAAGCGACATTTTTTTCTACCGACTTACTCGGAATACTAGAATCGCCCCACCGAGGTGTAGTTGCTTTTTCGGTCCGTCCGTTTCGAATTTTTTTAGCTTCACCCACTTCCCACGTGAGAAAATTGAAGGAGGAACTAAAGAGGTAGAAGAAAGTTATGTACATTTGAATCTAAAGTCGCGGCTCCACCTTTACAGCCCGCCCTAATACGCGGTGCAGTGTGACTCTTACTACGCTTAATTAATGAAGTCATGGAAAGAAGCCTGATATTGAAGCCTGGTAAAGAGTAAATGATTTTCTTTTGTTAAAATGTAGTAAAATTATACCTGTTCCTCTTCCTTTTTCGAGGATTTGATTAAATTTAATGAAATGAATTCAAGTTTCTTATAAAATCGCTTAAACACACTTACTTTACAATAGCAAAATTTTACTGGCCGTTGCCTCTGCAACGTCGAAGAAGTCCGTCTTTTTTTAATGTGAGAATGTGGCATGTGGGCTGCCGGTTCACCTGATGTTAAGTGATGACCGCCGCCCATGGGAATTTGCAACTCCCATAGGGTTCCAAACGCTTTGCCACCATTTAATAAAATGGTGAGTGCACCAGACGTAACGCACTAGTGTAACACTTCTATTTCACGGCGGTCTTCCGTGATGGGATGGTACTTCCCCGGAAGTACGTGCATCAAATATATATTTATAAAAAATAGTTCTAATAAATTACTAGAAACATTATAATCTTTAACCATTGATATTATAAAATTGTACCTTTTAAATGATTCCGAAACGTGCGCCAATAGTACACATTATAAATGAACCAAAGCTAATTAAAAATCACTATTTTTTTGATTTTGAGGAGTTCCCTGGTGTCTCCGGAATCTAAGGTCTGCCAATACTAGAGAAATAATGATTGTCAGTGCAAATGAAATTATGGGATCACTTTTTTTCATGTGAAAAGGGTGCAAGTGAGCTGACAGAGATCACCTGATGTTAAGTGATAACCGCCACACATGGTCATTTGCAACACCCTAGGGTTGTCACCTTTTAATAAAGTGGGCCCCGGCTAAACGGAACACTTCCACTTCACGCCGGTCGTCCCTGAGGTCGTGGTACTTACCCGGACGGAGCTGCCCACTCCTGCAACAGAGAACACTGTTGCTTTACGCAACCACAATAAGCCTACAGTAAAGTTGGTTGAAAATTGATTTACACTGTTTTATCTTGGCTTACTTTTGAACTTAAATGCCGACGTCTCGAATGCATCGCAGCTTTTATAGTGATACTAGCGACCCGCCCCGGCTTTGCTCGGGTGCAATGCTGAATGTTTGTTTTCGACATCGCATTAGAAACCGCTAAAATTATCAGTGCTTCTCTACTATATTATGCACAAATTATACATACAAACCTTGCTCTTGAATTACTCTATGTAGTATAATAAACCGCATCAAAATCCGTTGCGTAGTTTTAAAGATCTAAGCATATATAGAGACAGACAGACAGCGGGACGACTTTGTTTTATACTTAGTAGGGAAAATGGACTGAAATGTTAACGACCTGATCTCATTGTTATGTTAATCTCATTATCTCGGTTAACTTTACCATCAGCTTGAAAATATTCATTTAAGTCTAATTTGCAGTACATGCTAATTCAGGTCTGGATTTAATATCATTCCACCCAACCATCATTTCTATTGTAATTTGAATGTATTTCAATAGCCCCGCATATTGTCTTCGGTCTGTGCTTGCAAATTACAGTACTTGTGTAATGCTGAAGTCAGTTTTGAAGTTATAGATATTATATATATAAAAATATGAGAATAAAATTTCTACGATGCGCGCGCACACCGACCCCCAAAAAGCGATGAAATTGATTGCAAAGCGACCAACTTCAGGGTATTACCATGGCAACCAATAACACCTTTTAGAACTATAATTATAACGTATAATTATAACCATTATCATTTGCATTTAATGTTTTTTAACAAACAGAGAGTACTGGTGTACGGGATAAATAAGTCTTACGTGCGTACATAAGTACACAAACATACTTTTTTTTAATAATATTTGAGTACTTTAGGCTCGATGTAACTATAAATATTGAAAATAAATCTTTAAGCTAAATTTGTGTTAAGAAATATATGGAACTTTATTTTATGCCGACCGTTCCGCTCTTTGCACAAGTCATATAGCAGACATTGTCATATCGACTACGAGAGTTCTACGCGCTACAGCCGCCTTCGTAGAGCCGCTACGAAGCGTATGCCATTAGATGAAAACCTCAATTGTGTAACAACGTAACAAACATATTTTTATGTTTCTATCATGACCACAATACAACGTTAATGCGTGGAAAATTAGAAAATGTAGAATCTAACATAAAAAAGAGTTTTTGTACAGTAAATGTAGAGATAGCAGTCACAGATATCCTTAAGATAATTTCAAGAAAATCGTATTTCTTATATTATAAAATATAAGAATTAAGACGGATTACAAGTTCCTTTTACTGTTAACGCAATTGAACGTAATAAAAAGACAGAAATTATAAATTAACATTTAACCGTCTTACTCAGAGGCAATGAATTGGCTTTAAACAACATGTATTCTGTTTTTTGTTATTTTTTTTAGACGCTCCTTCACAAAGGAATAATTAATTCTGCAAGAAAGCTTTAATTGACATTTTGGTTGTGACCTGAAGCTTCCTACGAGCTTTGTGAAATTGTTGTTTTGTTCTAAGATTCTACCGAAAAATTTATTAATATATATAAATTTATTCTAGGTAAAACACATAGTGGAAAAAACAACAAACGAATTTCTCGAACCAATAGCTAGGTTTCGATAAAAGTTCCTTCGGAATGTTTTAAATTATTTCAATAATCTATTTCTTTTTTAAAAATATAACGAACTAAAGAAAAGTATTACATTCGGTAGTAAGTGATAGCCAAATCTCAGATACCCGTAATTCCAAGTGTTGTTGATTTGGTGCCAACCAGTAAGAGATTGGAATTTGGCGAATTACCTTACTACCTGTACTACGCCAGTTTTCAATGACAACGTGACACTTACTTGGTCGATCCGATACATCATCTTTACAGCCTTGAGTCCACTGCTGAACATAAGACCGCAACTGAGTGCTGAGTATGAAGCACGAATCTGAGCCCAATTTTCAAAAGGTTGTCAACGCATCTGTAACCCTTGGGTGTAGCAGATGTCCATGGGCGGCGGTATTCACTTAACATCAGGCGAACCGTCTGCTCGTTTGACAACTTTTCGCTTAAAAAAAAAAGCCACCTGCATCCATCGACTTCCTGCTTACTGCTTATTTGCACAGGTCGTCGCTCCGTCTAGGAGGCGTCTATAATGCTATCGCCAATAGCAAAATAACAATCGAGACCTTTCATCCTTTCATCCCAAACAGGTTCTTCGAATTTCTCAGGAATTGCCACTTCAGTTTATTAATCCTCTAAGCTATGTTGGTATCGAATGTCTTTCACGGAGAGAAGTAGCAAATCAAGTACATAGTACATAGAGAAAGCATATCTCCATAACTCATTGATCCATAGATGCTCCATAGCTCACTGAGCGACTTTAAGCTTCCTTATACGTGAATATTATACGCCAAATAAAGTTCTGAAAGCTCTATATATACTTGAAAATGCGTAAAAATTATATATGTGCGTCGGTTTACAAACTTTATACTACGGAATGTATTCAGTCAAGAAGGTAATAAAGTAAATTACAACCTATCTAATATATACATAATGTGTTCCACTGAAAGAAAATGCCACATCAAAAGTTTAAGGCATTATCTGCCACGCGACGCCACTGTGGATTAGCTGACTCCATATATTCGAAACATTTTTTAATTTATTTTGATATGTAGGTAACTTTCTAATGTTTTGCTTCCGCCGAGCGGGTGATACATTTAAGTACCGATTAATTATTAGCTTACTGTATTTAATACGCAAACATTTACACAAAATGTAATCAACCATAATGTTGAGCTTACACGAGCTTTGAAATGAATTTTTATTACTTACACGTCTATCTTGCGCGTAAGCATGCCGATTTAGTACGAAGCATTACTAACACTGCTACTGCTTCTGCGACAAGTACGTAATAAACAATTAAACTGTTGACAATAACGAGTCTCTTATTACGTCATGAAAGTTTTTTTAGAAAGTGCATATTTATTTGCTGAGCGCTAGAGAGGAAAGCGTTTTCTTAGAGCTCGCCTACATAGAGAACATGACCCTATGAGTTCTGGCACGCGTCAATCAGTGGGAGGCCACAGCAGCTAGAGCTAGCCGCCAGCGCTTCGGAAAGCTCGGCACCTCGAGGTCTAGCGCGAGAGGTGAAAGCAGCCACGAGCGCTCGACTCCCCCAGGTCTGGGGGCGCCACCACCCGCTCCGGCGGCGCGCGTACGATCGCCGCGGGATAAATGCGCGCTACTATTTCGGTGGGGGCGGGGCCGCGCCGAGGGGCCGAGCGGCGCGGCTCAGTCGCGCGCCGGCCGCCGCAGCGTGAGCACGTTAGCACGCGCGTGATCGCGCGGGTCGTGTTGCGATGGAGCGATGAGGGCGTGCGGGCGCGCGGCGTTCTGCTGGGCCCTGCTGTGCCTCGCCGGCGGCCTGGCGGCGCCGCGCCGCCTCTACTGCGAGCGCGCCGACGTGGCGTGGCGCGCGTACCGTGCGCCGGCCGCCTTCGAGGCGCGCGTCCAGTCGCTCGCGCGCGACGCCGCCACCGTGCAGGTGCGCCGCGTGCTGAGGCGCCAGGGCCGCTGGCCGCGCGAGGACTCAATCGTGCGCCTCAAGCTGCCCACGCAGCCGCTCGAGTGCGCGGGCCGCTTCGAAGTGCCCCTGGAGAACAGGAGGAACTATATCGTGTTCGCGGAGAGGCGCGGGCACGCCGCCGTGGCGCTCGGCCCGCCGTTGCGCCGCACCGCCAAGCTGCTGAGGCGGGTGCGCGCCGTCTACAAGCCCGGATACAGTGAGTGTTGTCAGTTCGCACCTCGCACCTCGCCGGCGCCGTGCAGACGTTGATGTGCCTCGCATTACAGTCGGTGGGAAATGTGTATGCGGACCGTATCAACTTCTGCGCGGCCCACGCATGCTTAGATATAAGACGATTCCACTCTAATCGCCATAACTTTAGTTTTAATTTAAGAAATGCACGCTGAACCAAGAGGTAATTTTTTGCATTTATGCTGATGCGAAATTGTGCATTCGCTATTTTGTAAAACGGCCACCTGAACGCTGCATCCGTCATTTGCGATGGAGAAGGTGGCGCATTGCAAACGCGCCAATAAATTTAACGGCCAACAAATACGCGTGCGGACAGGTGCATCGGGAAACAAGTAGCTATTACGAGTCCATTTTAGGCGCAAGAGTAAATAGTGGACGAGCGGCGTGGTCAGTGTAGCAAGACGCGCCGAGCGAGCTCCTTACTTGCGTTTATGCACCCTTATTAACGGTGACCGGGCTTAGAGAGGACTGCCCGACGCGCCACTATCAATTTCTCTGAACAAACAACTCTTACACAATCCATCAAACCGTGCATAGAATCGACTCTAGTCATAAGATCGTCTAATAAACACAAAAACACCGGAATCCCACCTCATTGTTAGCATTCTAGTCTCTCGGAGTCTTATATGGGCCGCGCTCGCCAATTCAATACGCAATCCAGGATTAAAATCAACAGCAATCATTCGCGACGATGGATGCATGGAGGGGAAAAAAAGCGTATTGTCTTGATGGAGTCATACCATTAAAGTTAATTTTGTCTGCGTCGACTGCGTGTCGTCGATACGGCGTTTTCCGCTACCACGATAGCTTTTCTCTAACAAGGCAAAGTAACAATGGAATATTAATTAATAATAGTTTACGCTCTTAACTTGTTCCGATACGGAAGCCTTAATTGTTGTCGATGACCAGTATTTATCTAAGACAATGGCCACATGGCTATTTTCGATATTAAGTCGATATTGTTTAAGAAACAAATAAAAAGTATCGCTTATGCTATTCAATGTATCTCCATTCCAAATTCCATCGAAATCCGTTCAACCATTGAGGTCCGTAATCCTATGGTGCGGAGGGGTCGACGCAAAACAGAAACCTAGGACGCGAAGTACACTCAGGCTCACCTGCTCGAACTTGTCATTTTTTTTTCTGAGTGCGATTATTAAGTGTGCTATAAATTAGCGAGTTGCACAATACCACGAGACGCTCAGTCGGCGCGCTCCGGAAATATCGGAGCGATCGCCAAAAAAAACTGATCCGCGATATTTCGCGCGGGAGATCGTAACGCCACATCTGCCAGACGGGCACCGACAGGTCGCAACTAGAGCGCGCGATGACGTCACCCCCCATTGAAGTGTGACTTCACCCACCATTGAAGTGTCGTCTGTCACTAATGGCACCAGCTAAGGTCCCTTGGACTAAAGCCGATCTAGTTCATGCAAAAAATCCGCGAAAGCTCTCTGAGATACGAATCCACGCCCAATTAACAAGCTGTTAAGTCCGTTATTCCTTAGGCTTGCTTGTTAATATTTCATTGTATTGTTTTAACGAATTGGCAATTACACTAAAGGTGAAAGTTTTCCCTCCCCAACCACTCTTAGTTTTGATCTGTTAAAAAACTAACAATTTTGAAACGTGCACAACAATACACGAACTTATACGCTCGGTCCAAAATGCTTCGTTACCCCACAACGGTCCTAATCCATCAAGGTGTTAAAAACGGTTTTCGCTTTAAACAATGCCATTTCATTTACATATTTAACTACTTTATTTTTTTCGACTCCACGATATAATTAGACTACATCGGAATCCAATTAAGTAAACAATTATGAAGACACGCGCGTACGAGTTATGTAGAGCTGTTCGTGGTAAAGCGCAGACTTTTCCGAAGCGTTAATAAATTCGAAATTCGCCAGCGCCCCATCAAAAGCGTCTCGCGTGTTGGTGGCGCTTACAGTCTCCGGAGTGTTTACATTGGGAGCTCACTTGTTAGCTAAATGTTTATCCTTCTGGATGCCGTCCATCGCTCCTCCTTTGTTAATGCGTTCGACTTTCATTGTCCGATTGTAAATCTGTCTTGGCGTGTTCAGCGGAGCCCGTCACGCGGCCCGTGTCACGCCCCGAGCACTCGGACATTGGCGATTTTCGCTCGCCCATAAATAAAATGTTCATGTTTACAACATTATTATTCCCCGATATCGATCATCCGTTAAACGAGCGACGCTTACCAATCTGGCTTAGGATTACCATCGCACCACCCTCGGTGTGAAACTAACGCATCTCTGTCGCCGCGCGAATAAGTAACGGATAAACTACTTTCATCTGCCCCGCCGGTAACCTATTTAGCGTGCGGTTAACGCGTTCAAAATAAACAGGGCGCAGTGGGAATCGGTCCGAGAGCTATCCCGCCGCGTCAGTTAAAATTTAGATCTATTGATCATTTAGCCTTATTTATTCCAGACAGACGCTCCGGGTATTCTTACGCGAGGTGCCAAGCCAAAATCTTTGATACTAGTAATTTATACGGCTATAACATACCCCAATAGCGTCTCCATTCTGCAGCACATATGCAGTGTACATCAGGTCGCGCGGTTCGTAGACCCGACTAGCATTCGGCTGAGTCAGCGGATTGTCTCCGGGCTGTATATTTAGAAGATATATCACTTCGCGGTCTTAGATATTGAGTCAGTCCATTTCTTCGTTTACGTTCGGCCCGTTCGGCCCGATTTATGCCGCGTCCCCGCCGATATATCATAACATGTGAGCAGCGGTGTACGCCGATGGCCTTCGGTTCGACATCACAGGAGTCCTCTGTAGTACTCTGGCGTATTATTAAAAAGCTTTTATTTCACGAAAGCCGAGCGGCCGCCGTTACGGCTTGGCAGTCCTCCATTATTCCCGCCACGGTCCGGTGCGTCCGGACTCCTATTAGAAATATTAACATGGGCCGCATTACGATATTTTATTATCAGCGGCGTTTTAATCGCCTCAGATGCTTGGATAAGTTCGCCGTCTGTTTGCCGAGACGGGTGGTGATGTTGCGTAATTCATTCTATTATCATTTGTTACACAATTTGTGTTAATTTACAACTTGGTCAATTAGAAATCGGATTGCGTTATGAAGTTTAAAATACGTGAGCTCCACTTATAGATAATTACACAAAATTGGAAGAGAGAATAGATAGAGTATAGAAGAATAATCTTATTTAAAAACACGTTCTTCATCAATGTCAATAAATAATATAAATATTTCTTTTAACTTCCTTAACATCGCCAATTACCACATTCAACTAAATCAGATTCACGTGTTCGTATTTTCGTTGCCTTAATTACTTTCGCGAAGTACAGTTAATTGCAGTCAGTCTAAACCAATGGGGTCAGAAATTATTTAGCCGAATCTTAACCATCCTTAAAACTATAAGCCCCCACTTCCTGATGTTGTAATAGTAAAATGCTTAAGGCGAATAATCGTTAAATGTTTATGTACCATTAAGCTGTATTACACGGCGATAACCGCGCCACCTGTCGCGTCTCTAGAAATAAAATTCAACTGGAAATAGTCTCTATTTTTGATCATTTACGATACAAAGTGACGCCCCTTCGGATCTGAGTATTTTATAACGCACCCTATAATTTTATATATTGCCACTTGACGCCAACTGGACAGAACTACTTGATGATGAGGATGGTCTGAATCATTTTAATGTTGAAGAAAACTAATCGACACCAGCAGTGGCTGGCCATCTGTAGTAATGGGTTCGAATAGGGAGAGTGTGCAATTAAAGAATTACATGAATAAATATAGGTACGGCTATTATAAATCGTAATAAAAATGAGCAGTAACAAAAAGCTGTTGAATAGTTTTTTTTAACGGGGAAGAGAATGACACTCAGCGCTGTCCTTATTTCAATTATAAAAAAAAATCCTCTCAAGGGTGAGTGAGGATCGATCCCCACTACTCGAAAAAGAAAGCGTTGTGAACTTAATGTTTTTCTAAAGTTTATAAATTTATATATTGGTATTTATTTACAAAAAAGAGAAAATCATATTCATCGGTTACCTAGTACGTATAATGCATGCTTTGCTCAGTTAGGGACTGGATAAATTTGTGTAAAAATATGTTCTAAAATGTTTATTTATTTATATTAACTTCTTGCTTATTGCCTCAGTACCACTATTTAGATTTTGGGTAATCACTCAATGGTCTTGGCCTTGTGACGTATGCTGGATTATACTTTCAATCCGGAGACTATGTAAAACCTCGTAGGTCGCAGAACATGTGGTAAGACGATTTTCATGAGTTTGATAGATTTTCTCACAAGTAGAGTACTATTACTACGTGCAATGCAGTTGGCCGTTGAAATCCAGTATAGAGTAAGTTATTCGTTTTCGGGGAGCGGTGTAAACTTGTATGTGATTTGGTAGACCGGGGGTGTGTAGGCAGCCCTGTCGGTGCGTTTGAGCGGCGCAGAGGTGCACAGAAAAAATACCCACGACTCATCTATGGGGGCATTCGATCGAAACCATTATGTTGACGGGTGCGGATGTACGCGTTAATCGCAAGGCCGACGGTCCAATAATCCGGCCGATTCCATTGTTCGGGTCCAGCCATCGATGTCGAGCGCCCACGGTGCCCCGGCGGCCGTGTCGCGGCTCTACCACGCCAGCGGGCATTATGTAGAGCCGAATGCTTTGTGCCAGCGAGCTAGGTGTCTGGTTGAGTAAAATTTAGAGTTCAGTGAAAAGCGTGAGCGAACTAGATGGCTTAAATTGCTAATCGAACAAAATGTAGTGTCGTTGAATACAGGAGGCAAGCTGGATTGGATGGTCACTCCGCTGTAACATTATGCAGATCTATGTTTAAAAATAAACAAAAATTTTAACACCTTTTGCTAAAATGCGCATTGGCTTACGTAAGTAAGTGTGCGAAAGCGTTCCCGTAGCCCTGCCGATGTGCACCTAGATGGAACAACGTGGGGATTTTACTCGGTGCGAGTCCAACATAACCCGCTCTTACCCCGCGAGGGCGGGTATGCGTAGGCATATCCCACGTCAACAAAAAAAAATTGGCTCGCATATATCGCAGTCATTGGGTTAACACTTACCTACAGTCGGTCAAAAAGTTCGACGGGCGGAATTCTCCGGCGACGCATAACGTCGTCGCGGTATTTTCGTAGTACTCTATTTGATTGCTAAACGCTAATTCCCGCTTGTAGGGGCGTTGTTTTAACGATAATGTAATGACAACGCGTGTTTGTTGCGACGCCATTAATTTCGTAAATGGCGAGACGGGCGCGTTTACGCGATAAAAGGAGTCCATCGAAGAGTTAATTGGAGTATAACTTAGAAGCGCCTTATTTGAATTATAATCAGAAGTCACACGTCTTCAGAACATATTGGGTAGATGTTGGTAATATCCACGTCTCACCTAGCTCATTAATTCTCGAAGCAGGATGGTAAACCTTCGCTGTAAGCCGATTTAGTTTACGATGCGAATTATTACGGTTTCAGAAACACTGATCATCGTTGAAATTAACTAATCAACTGTCAAATGGCTTCTCAAATGTCATTTGAGTTGCCGAAAGGATGGTTAAATTCTTTCAATTGATCATTCTGAACATTAAGAAGATCATTCTGACGATTCTCTGATTCTACTCTCTGATTCTGATCTGATTCTACGATGATCAGTGTTTCAGAAACCGGGCGTAAGTTTATTGTTTCATAAATTAAATCATTAAGAGAAAACTCAAAATGTGATTATCAGAACTGCGGGATTTCAGCGTGCGTCTTCCGAATGTTGAGGAAGTTGAATCTCGTAACGCTGAAAGAAATTTTTTCATCTTGAGTTTAGAGACTACACTAAAAATAAAACTAATCATAAATTTCAATAGTGAAGACAACATAATTAGTTCAAACACGCATTGTAAAATAATTTCAATAGGAGTTTAACGTTGTATACACACTAGATAGTGCCAAGCATTGCTATAAATCCAATAAGGAAAATAGATAGATGAAAAGATTTTCACGCCGTAAGGTCATCAACCGCTTAGCATCGCTGGTAAAACGTTACCCGGAAACTTTTCCGGTTCGAATCCCGCACTTCTGAAATTATCGCGACAACTTTTCTACTAATACCACATTTTAATTTTCCACTTAAGTTCAAAGACCAGCGCAAAAGTATCAAAAGCAATTTTAGTATTTGAGCAAATGTGAAAAACGGATAACTTGCTGAGCACCGTTTTGTAAAGCCCGCTACCATATACTGAGTTGGTATCCCGAAAACTTTTATCACCAATCGGATAATGTAGTGTGTTGCTATCAACTCATTCGATCTAATCGCGACTGATTTATAAATAAGATCTCATAAAAGTTACCAGCGGAAATTCAATGAGTTCGACTCTACACTAACTGGACATCGAACCCGCTCCTCTAATATGCGGGTACACCTCCCTCGGTATACCACCGCAAATTATACGCCTGCGTCGAAGACAACTGCCACCGTACTTCCTTACACTCGTGTCGTATTAATCACGAATCATTAAGGCGAGGATTTTAGCGGAGCCCTACCGTCCGCCGCAATAATACGGTACGTGTTAAGTATCGATAAATCAAATATCACTGGGCCGCTGTATAATCACGGGGCATACAGGAGACGCGGCGGCTGCGGTAGGGCCTCGTAATCAGGTCCGACATTAGCGGCCCACCCGCGAATACGTAATCAGCGGGCGTGCGCACTGACGCCGGCCAGCGGATAGCGGGAAACGGCGCCATTTTGATTTTGACGTATTGTTTTTTTTTTTTTTTCTTAAAAAGACGCACGTCGATAACTCGAAGCGCCGTTACAGAATTTCGACGGGTGGGCGGGTTTCAGAATTTTAAGTTTTCATGTGTGTGCAATAATGTATGAAATTTAATTTTTGCTACAAAGTTTGTAACTGGTTAGTGTTTTTTTTTTTCTTTTCTATTAGGTGCATAGTTTTCATTAAGTGTCTTTAAATTTAGTTCGATTGTTACCAGCTTTTTTATAATAGACAGAAATATGTTACATTAAAACCATATTTTCTATAATGACAGTGTTGACAGTAATCATAACGATCTACTGAATGTTCCTATTTCAAGTTTAATGAAATGTATGTTAAACTAGTAGCAAAAATAATCCTTACTAATATTATAAACGCGAAAATTTTTATGTATGGATGGATTTCTGTTACTCTTTCACACTAATAAATGGATTTAACGAAACTTTACAATAATATAGTTTATACATCAGAATAAAACATAGGCTATAATTTATATACATATTGTATGAAGATCTGTCTTTCTGTCTTAATGTTACGCCTTCAACCTATTCTACGCATACGTAGTCGCGGGCAGCACCTAGTTACTTTATAAGTTTTCAATATTGCGAGCTTTGTACCAGTGAAAACATTTTTAAAAACATTAGAAATCAACCTGCAAACAATAGTGCTAATTGTAGCACTTTATTATGTTAGTATAGTCAAGGAATATTTTAATAGGATAATAATTATGTAAATTTTTCGTAATAACCTTAAAACTATAATAATAAAATTCTATTATATTCTAATTTATGAATATGTATCACTGTCAAACACATGTTATTTATGTCAATTTTTGCGTTCGTCTTCGTATTAAATAAGTTCAGAACGATCGTAAAATTATCGCTAATTAAACCGCGCTCTCTTCCGCTCGTCACTAAGCTGTGTTCCTAACGGGAGGACTTTTATCGACCGCTCCCGGCAGCTGTCCAGTTCGCAACGGTAATCTCGCGCTGCACCGCATACACTGATCATTGGCAACGTGCAAAATGCACAGCCTTCTCGCGGCGCAGTCAGTGTACGCTCAGGACAGTTTTACCCTCGCCAACGGCTTGCCACCTACTGCGGCTGAAGCCGCGCGTTTTCCCACGATACCGCGTTTTAGATTCCTCCGGCACATCCGATCACTGTGACGTCGACCGTTGATTTTGTGACGTCACACGTTTTTATTTCGCACCTTAACGGCAATTCTTCCACGAACGTAAAAACTATGATAGCGAGATTAGTACATGTTGAATTTCTTGCTATGAAGACATGATCCGACATGCCCGATTGTCAAGTGGATAGTAAACCTCTTGCGCCAGTGAGTGCGGGTTCGATCCGCACCACTAGATTTTTTTTGTGTGACGAACATAGTACTATTTCAGTGTCTGGTTATTTATAATATATATTTACTAGTGGACCGGACAGACGTTGTCCTGTAAAAACGTCTTAAATTCGAAAATTTTAACCTTTTTTGAATAACTTTGTGAATCTAAACCATTAGAGTAGTGACATACACGCGTACAGAAGAATTATTTATTCACAAAAGAGGAGTTCGTATGTTTATCAGTTATATGCTACCCATGAATGTTGTGTAAAAAATGTGTCTTAAAATATATTTATTTCAAATAGAAATTTAATTTTGTTTATACTGTTAATCTCTGCACTTTAGATTAATTTTAATTATTTCTACAAATTTTAATTATTTAAAATAGTTTTTCAATTTATTTAAAATAGTTTTTCAATTGTAAGCTAACTTGATCATAGTCAAACTTGTGCTCGGAAATTCTATCGGCTCAGTTCAATGTTGAACATAAGCCTCCCCAACAGACCGCCGCGAAGCACAATCCTGAGCCACCTGCATCCACCGACTTCCCGCACATTTGCGCAGGTCGTCACTCCATCTAGTAGGGGACACTACACTGCGATGGTCCGTACGAGGCTGCCACTCGAGAACCTATCTTCCCCCACTTTTCGTCATCGGCCACCTGAAATTAAGTCAGAGCCATTTCTACCTAACGTTGCTGTCTTCGTGAAAAAAAAAAATAACGCGGCACACTCTGTCTATTCACACTCATCCTCTGACAGACCCCGTTAAAGGAGGCGACGTAAGGCGTATCCATTGAATTTATTTCCACGCATCGGGGTGATTTGTGAGCGCGTTTCATTGCAGTCTATTCCCCGGTCGTAAATTTAACGAGCGCTAATGACCGCCCTCGTACGACATATTGTGCAACCGGCGACCCCGCTTCGAACCGGGCTGCGGTAAAAATCCACCACTCGCAAATGTCGAGGGCACCTCCCTGCTTCAAGTTACGAGCGCATAGCGATAACTCCAACTCGCAAATCCTACCAAGTTGCGAACTCGTCGCGGCCCCATTCCACCACGTTCTTTACACTTATTATGACGGCAAATAATACGAATAAATAGCTAGTATTATCCCCCTAAATTTATAAATGTTTTATGACTGGTGCTATAATAATGTGTAAATGAATATTTATCAATTACAAAGTTAACTTATTTTAAAGAATAACATTTATCAGTTTACTTCGTATCTTTCATTTAAACCAAGTATCAATTGGCATTATAATACATTATTTATGGGAACTTTTTACAAAAAAAATATTATCTTTATTTTAATTGTCTATTTTCCGTCAATAGCGGCAGTTTTAAAATAGTTTTTGAGTCTTTAAATTTGATGAAGAATTATGGAAGTTACGGCATACTGGCAAAAAACCACTAGAAGTACTGTATAAATAATATGTTGAGATACTGATTCCTGGATATGAATAACAAATCTGTAATAGGTAACTTTACGGACTATGCTTTAAAACATCTATAGCTATACATGATAGGACTTATCACGTCAGTCTGTCCCGTGACCATATAATCTAAATTATTCGAAATATCAGGAATTAAAAACCAAAATAAAACGTGAAATGAATACCGTCTTGTGGATTTACTTTGCATTATCGACTACAAATTTTCAGTTTTGGTTACTGCTCATTGAATTTACATTTTTAGGGATTCTATATTTATTACTCTGCAACATTAATTTCAGTCACATGGTGAAATCAATATTTACAGTTCCTAATTTTATGATTTTAATTTAACGTCTGCGACGTTACGTCCACCGCTCGCTCCGCTCAACGCTTAAATCTTATCGCGTGAAGTAAACTTGAAACCCCAATTCGTATGACATTTAGAATTAATTGGTAGGCGCGGTCGAAGAAGAGAAAATTGCCATCGGACATTATGTAGCCCCGATGAAAGTGCGCGTGCGATATTTGGGCCGAGCCGTTTCGTTCCGTGTGTCGCGGATTGCTCTTGAAGTTTTGCCCGGGAACATTAATCGGTGTTGAGTGTAAGCGAATCGAATTGGCGGTGTCAACAGCTCATTTTGAGCTTTCACTCGTAGCAGTACTTACGCATTTGTGTTAAATTCAGAATAGTAAAGTAAAGTATCAGCCTATACATGTCCCACTGCTGGGCAAAGGCCTCCTCTTCACAGAGGGTATCAGGGTATGGTCCACCAAGCGGCCCCACTGTGGATTGGCGGACTTCATATATTTTCGAAATATTTTTTTTATTATTCCGAAAATATGCAGGTTTCCTCACGATGTTTTCCTTTACCGCTGAGCACGTGATAATTCAGCAATTAAAATTGACAATTTCAATGGTGCTGGCACCGGGGATCGAACTCAGGTTGCTCGAGTGTATAAAATTAAAGGCGCCCAGAGAATGAGCTATCACGGCTCTAATTCAGAATATTAATTATTAAAAAGTAGACGACACTTTCTAATAACACTGTATTTTTGTTGACACTGCTATAATTCAGTTTATAAGCTTTTTCTGTTCGATGGCAATAACTCATATTGACGACTCGTCTGTGAACCCACTAGGAAAAGGGAAGAACACTAACTACTTCTACACAAATTTCTGAATTCGAATATAATTTATTAAACAGATACTGGAACTGTACCTTTGCGTGTTTACAGAAACAAAGAGTATAAATTTTTCCTCTCGCTTGTTAAGTTTAAAAATTTACAATGGCAATCCGTCGTAATATCGTTACATATTTCAGACAGTGATTGCCCATGAGACAGCACGGGCCTCCGCTGTATGTTAGGACGCAAATATGAGTTAGTGATTTTCGCCCGCCAAAAAGCATGCTGTATGTTAGGAAGCAAATATGAGTTAGGGATTTTCGCCCGCAATAAAACTGCGTGGCCATTCGGGGACAATCGACGACGGGATTTCTGCCCGCGGATAAGTTCTCAGCCGTTTGGATGGTCAACGGCCATCGCGGTTAAGATTCGAACGGCCAACAGACGAACGTCTTGCGAATAGACTTGCCCTTAGATGACACACCATACTTAAACGCACGCATGAGCACATGCGTGGCCCTACCCACAGCGGAGGGCCCAAACCCGCGGGTTTTGGCTAGCCCACCGGTTCTGCGTCAGATGAAGCTTTAATAGTCCCGGGACTGAAAGCACAAACAGCAGTTAATACAAGATACAAGAATAGTCTTTATGTGCAATGTTTCATTCGGAACATGCACCATGTCATGCGGCAAATTTCATACCGTTGCGCGCTGCATATGTATAATGGCGCTCGCAATAACCTAGGCACGTACGCGGCCGATAGACTGGCGTTGGCGCCGCCTCCTTAAAGGGCGACGCGGCTTTTTGTGCCGATACGAAAATCGATGCGGATAATCGGCTCGATGGCTCCGTGACGCAGCTGCCAAGCCGTTGGCTTCGGCGCCGGGGGCTGTGGCTTCGTTTTACCCACGGTACCACCATTTGTGTGACCCACGGATAATTGTCACGGCTCCGGGTGTTGTGTGTCCACGTGAAATTTATGTGTGTAAAACGTCCTTTCGACAAAGTATATCGTTATAATACGTGCCGATGAGCCTCCATTGTATGTTAAGAAGTAAACATGAG